CAGAGCCTTCGGGAGAGTTCTCAAGATGCGTCCTTCCGGAGACGCCGTTTCAGGGGCTTTCTCACCCAGGGCCTGAGCCACAGAGACGAACTGTAGGAGCCTGCCCCCCAGGGCACACAGCCAGCGAGCAGGGAGACGAGGCAGGACACGCCCGACTAGAAGCAGCACTGCAGGTGCTATGAGAGAATGCGGCTTTGCGAGCTCGCAGGAGAAAACGGTGTCCACCTGAGGACGCAGGGAATGGCCCATGATCTGGGCCTCGGAGAGTGCTCAGGATTTTATTGGATGGGCAGTTATTGGTCGAGGAGGGACATTTTACAAAGAGGCAACTGTAGGAACAGGAGGTGTGGTGAGTGGATATGACCCAGAACATGGGGCACACCACCAACGGCCTGCAGGGCTGGCGAATGTGGTCCATGGTGGGGAGGGGCAAGAGTGGGGGTGCAAAGGTGAGCTGGTAGAGGCTTAGGAGTGACTAATGTAACTGGAAGTGACCCCACAGAACAACGCTATCCAAGAATGTTCTACATTTGCACGGTCCAACAGAGTAGCCACTGGCCACAGGTGGCTAAGGAGCATTTAACATGAAGCTAGTATGATCGACAGACACAATTTTTAGTTTTGTTTACATTTTATTTAATCTTAATGTAAATTTAAATAGCTACCTGTGGCTAGTGGCTACCATATTGGACGGTGCAGCCACAGAACTCATGACCGTGAGCTCCAGTGTGTACAGAGGGTTCCACACACTTGCAGCCCTATCCTCAGCCATGAAATGGGAGCTCCCATGCAGACCATTGCTGCAATTGTGCAGCCGAGTAGATGAGTGTGGCTGGCATACAGCCTGTTTCCTGCTTGCTAAGCCATGCAGCCTGAGGTGGCTGTGTCTTAGAGCAAGGGGCAGCTTTTTCTTTTTTTTTTTTTTTAGATTTTATTTTTTCCTTTTTCTCCCCAAAGCCCCCTGTACCTAGTTGTAGATTATAGTTGTGGGTCCTTCCAGCTGTGGCATGCGGGATGCCGCCTCACCATGGCCTGACGAGCCGTCCCGTGTCCATGCCCAGGATCCGAACCCGTGAAACCCTGGGCCGCTGAAGCGGAGGAAGAGAACTTAACCACTCGGCCACGGGGTCGACCCCAGGGGCGGCTTTTTCTAATTCTTACAAAGGTGTCGTGTGGGCTAGCAGCAGCTCTTCTTTCTCTCAAGTTTCTGCTCTCAGGGGTCTGTCTGCAGGTGGTCAGGTTTCCTCTCTGCTCCTGCTTCCTGGAGCTGCTGGGCCAGGTGAGTGCACCTGGGCACGGCCAGGTGGGGGGCGCAGGTGCTGGCTGTTAACCCGGCAGTGCTCCCACGAGTGAGCTGAGGAGCCTGGGTTCTCCACCTGGCCGTCGGTGTGCGGCTCTCTTCCGCAGCCTAACTGTCGACAAGCAGGTCTATTGGCCTGAACTTGGGAGGAGGTAAGAGGCGGCTCCTATGTCGGCCACAGGTTAAAAGGACCATCGTTATTCAGCTGTACCAGCAATAAAGCTTATTTCATAGCTTAATTCCCACTTGGCTTCCTGGTCTATTTCTCAGTTGTTTCTAATCGAAGAGGAGGAAGAGGAAAGGTGAGGCAACAGAACCTCCTCACCTCCCCACCAAAAGGACACAGACACACTTTCTAGTCTTGAATGCACAAGAGTGACATATTCGTGAGCCAACACATCCATTCAAGATATCCTGCCTCATACACAGGCACAGACTCTCAGACTTGGAAGAACCACTGAGTTCTAAAATCTCAGTGTAAGATGAGGACGTTTGGGTCCTAGAGAAGTGTGATGACCTGCTCAAGGCCACACACATGTCAGAGGCATTTATGACTGGATCTCAGTTCTCCTGACTTAACCCAGTGCTAATAAGAAAAATCAGGGGCCGGCCCGGTGGCGCAGTGGTTAAGTTCGCACGTTCTGCTTCTCGGTAGCCTGGGGTACGCCGGCCCGGATCCCGGGTGCGGACATGGCACTGCTTGGCACACCATGCTGTGGTAGGCGTCCCACATATAAAGTAGAGGAAGATGGGCACAATGTTAGCTCAGGGCCAGGCTTCCTCGGCAAAAAGAGGAGGACTGGCAGTGGTTAGTTCAGGGCTAATCTTCCTCACGAAAAAAAAAAAAGAAAGAAAAGAAAAATCAAAGTTTGCAAACTGATTGCCATTGATTGGTTGGTTAGCCTGCCGATTTTTTTTTTTTTAATGTACACGATGTCGGCCCATGCAGAGTTTAGAAAATGTTTGAATTATTTGCCTATACTTAAAAACCAGACAAATTCGCTTTGAAATCCAGACTAGCTATCATTTCTGGGCCTGAAGTGAAGTCGTGCCTGGTCCTGCTGCAAAGAGCACCAGTGGCGAGGGAGGGAGAGATGCGGACCATTCAGAAGCTGTTCATCCAAAGCCATCAAACTGGATCCCAGAGTCATAGAAGCTGCTTTTAAAACATCTTGTTTGTAGTTCATTCTTGCTTATTATAAGGACTTAGAGTTTCAGCTCTTAGAAGCTGAAAGTAACTGTAGCTCTCGGAGATCAGTTGGTTGAGCCAATTCATTTTACAGATGATCATCGTGGGTCCCAGACCCACAAGCCAGCGGATGAACACAGGGTCACAGAGATGGTAACCAGGCAGGATGTGATTGCCCCCGCTGCTTTCTGCTTTGTGAAGGCTCCAAACCCATCACCCTGCTCCCCTCCCACCTCCCCTCCCTCCCCCCGGGTAGTTTTGGGAGCAAATCCCCAGGAATGTTTTTTGTGGACTCACCTGCATTGAGGGCACTGATCTCTGCACCAAACACATCGCTGTCCAACTCAGCACATAATAAGCATTCAGTAAACTTGTTGAATGAATGAATGAATGAATGAATGAATGTGTGAGTCAGGGAATGCTCTTAAAATTGGGCACAGGTCTCTTATACATGTTATTGCTTCAGTACATAATCTTTTCAAATTAATATTGATGAATTCTGACAAAATACTGATATCTACATCTGTTATAATCTGTTTTTTGTAAATGTGAGATTGCTCTAATTTGGAGTACTGAGTCAGAGCATCGGTTTTATATTTTTCCGGATGTGGTCTATAAAATATTAATATTTTTATTTCCCCCAAGTGAAAACTAAACAAAACTTAACTTCATTAGGTAGGAAATCAGCCAAAAAAAAAAAAAAAAATTGAGAGGTGCTACCCAAAGCCAAGGCAGCTGAAATTGGCCCTCCAGGTACCATCTTCTAATGTCACCAGTGCCATCTTTGCTCACAGCCAAGCAGCTGCCCCAGGGCCTTGTGTCGTGCTGTCCCACAGATATTTCAGTGAATAAGCCTTGATTCAGTTTTCACTCCCTCCCGTATTATAGTTCTCTTGTTCTAGGATTCCACTGTGGGTGCCACAGCTGTCCTCAGAAACACCGCTGCCCTCCATCCACTGTTACCCAGTGTCCTTGACAATGAATAAGACAAATGCACCTCCACTCTGCCTCTCCTCAGGACAGGAGCTTGGTCCTGCAGGTAATTAGGTCCTGGGGTGGGAGCGTGCCCCATTGGTCCTCCAGACTGGTTCTGACATGTCTGGACCAGCTTCAGCTACCTCGTCTGTTACATAAAGATGGTGACACATTGGAAAGAAAATGCGAGTGGAGCTCCGCTCTTTGCTGCCATCTGTTACCGCAGTGCAGGTCCTACTTTTGCATTTGCCTGGCTCCGCTTGACAGCAGGGCACTGCTGGCCTTGATCACTGTCCTGAAATGGGCTCTGCCACTTTGATAGCCCTTGTCAGTTGAAAGTTTTTTCTCCATAAACATCAAGAGGCTGGAGAGAAATCTCCACAGTGAAAATCCTTTTTTAATATCTAAAAATTGTCTCAGGATGTGCTTTGGGACAGAGGGGGAATAATTTACGACTCACTATGTGCCAGAAGTTACACCAATTGTACGTCTTATTAAATCCTCAGAAGAGCCTGGAGAGGGTTTTCTAATCCCCATGTAGAGATGAAAAGTGGAGGTGGAGAAAGTGAGTAAGGGGCCGAGCCGGAATTCAGATCCAGGTTTTTCTAACTACAAAGCTGGTGTCCGTTTCTTAGTGTGGCCCCTCCAGAGAAATTGTTTTGGGTTGCTTTGTTTTTCTTTAAAGCATCCCGTGTCACCCACTTGTCACACACTAGAAGTCAGCCTTCTCTGTGTGTTACCACTGGGACCTCATAAACACCATGTTCCCACCATGGTCTGAGACTCTGCAGAATGCACATACAATTAACCTGGAAAACAGACTGTTTGAACCACCCCGGTAGAGAGAAAGCCCTCAGAACGCCAAAGCAATAGTCAGCCCACGGCAAAGGCCGCCTGATCGCCTAGGGCAAGGCTCAGCCCAGAACTTTCTGCAGGGTCTCACTCTAAAGATAGAACAGAGGCTCTCAGAGCTTCCTGGTTGTTAAAACAACAACTACAGTAGCAGGAATTGAGACCTAAAGATCAGCGGGGTAGAAATGAGGAAGGAAATGGCAGGTGAAATGACTCGTTTTCCCCAACTGGCCCTGTTCTTTCTAGATACAGCCTCAACCCTCGAACAGTAACAGTGGGATCATTTGATCAATCGAATGCTGAAAGTTTTCTGTCGATTTCTAGGCTGTTCTGTGTACTTTAAAGTCTGGGGTGCGCGGGAACTCCTGGGAGATTTGTGCTTCTGCGTTTGCTAGGCTGGTTCGACAGACACCTCCTCAGGAGGTCTCTCCCCAGCTGCTGCGGGAACTGTCGTAGCCCGTGCTGAAGACAGAGTGTCACTATAGTGCTCTGTCCTCCGAAGATCTAATCTGAATACCCGCCTCTTCTTTTTGTCCCTTTCCGGTTTCATGAAATTTCTTGCCCCTTTGGATCTTTCTCTCTCTCTCCCCTGCTTCAGATCAAGGAAGTTCCCGATTTCCCCACTTCTGGACTAGCTCCCTGGAGGGCAAAGCAAGAGTAACTCCTTCCCACCTCCTTTTCCAGGCACAGGGTGCGCCCCAGCTGATGAAAATCTCCACCCTTGAGAGCCCTCAAGATATCAGGCTCTCAGGGCGTCGCGGGAGAAAAGGTTTAGTTTGATGTGGTTGAGTCAGTCATCGCTGCATCTTCATACTCTCGGCCCCAAACCACCTCCTGCTCATCACCGGCACTTTGCATTTCTCTGGATTATCTTTCGTCCGTTCACCACTGACCCTCACAGCCTCAGCCGGGGCTGAAGCAGGGGCAGAAGGAGGGGCCACTCCCTTCCTGGTTGAACTGCTGACTGCCTTGGCCACGCCTCTCCAAACCCAGCTCCTTCAGGAACCGGAGAAAGAGAAAGCAAGCGCAAGTGGGGCTGCAAAGACTGTTGTTACATGATTTCCCTTAAGCCCCAGAAATAGAAAGCCAGACTTCCGACGCACAGAGCCCCTGTGCAAACCACTAGACCGCACTGCCAGATAAGAAAAATGTTAGATTGTGTCATACTTCCTTCATCAGCTCCAGTTCCCCAAATTTGAGAGAACCTCGCCATGATCCTAAGATTTAGAGAGGCAAGAAGAGGGAGGACAAACGGATCAGACTTCTCTTTTTTCTGGTATAAATTTGTTTTCAGCCACAGAAGTAAAGGAGAGAAAAGATGACGAAAGATTAGTCACCCGCTAACTTTTTTGTTTGCATGTGCAAGAGAAAGAAACGGACTGGACATCAGCAGGCAGTGAGAAAGAGAATCTGCCAGCTGAAAGCGTCCTTGGCCTTTTGGATTCACATGTGTTCGTTTATCCTCATGACAGAGGATGACACACCTCCTTGCAGAACGAGGAGGCTGGACCAGGTTCAGATTCCCCTAGGTTCCAACTCGTATGCTCAGTACCACCTCCACCACCGAAATAATTTTACTTCCCTCTCCCGGAGCAGCCTCAGTGGACGTCCACGTTGTCAGCGGCCGCAGGAAGAGTGATGGCCGGGGTACTGACACGCTCCTAATTGGAAGGTAGGAGGTGCCGCAGAGATCAGCTATGAAAGACATCTTTGGACCCTGGTGGGCTGCTAATGCTTGGAAGAGACTCGGGGGTGAGGCCTGGCGAGCTGTCACCCTGGCATAGGGCCTCGCCTAGCAGACAGACAATGCAGGCAGGAGGAGGCAGCCAGCAGACAAGGCCCGCATGGGAAGCCACCATTTTAGGGGATGGCAACAATAGTGGGCAGACCAGGACTTCAGGAGTCAGGGAGCTCACTAGCGGGTAGGGTACAAGGAAGGGAGAGCCTGGAGCCAGGATCAGAGAGGCAGGGCCAGCAAATAGCTGATAAGAGCCTTGTGGTGAAGACAAGGAAAAGGAGGGACAGGAGTCTCTTACATCCAGCTAATAAAGAACAAACTACTTGTGACTTCTGTAGGCCTACAACTGCTCCAGGCCCTGAGGGGTTCAAAAGAAGAACCAAGCTAGAATTGAACATCTGATTAAGAGATAAGCAAATCCACACACTGAAATTATTGCTGAGTAAGACAGTGCTGCCTGTGTTATGCAATACGGCACTTGTGCAAGCTCTCTGCTTGCATTATCTCGCTTAATCCACTCAACAACCCTACAGGGTGGGTGCCGTTGTCCCTGTTTTAGAAATGAGGGTGCTGAGAGCCGCAGACCTCGTCTAAGTTTGTCTGGCTAATAAGCAGCTGAAGTAGGATTCAAATCCAGGTCTGTGTGAGCCTCTGGACTTTCCGGTACAGCCTGCAGCATCCCTTTAGTAGAGTAATATAGTGCTGCACTGAGCAAGAAGGAAAAGTAAATACTTCCTGGCTGATGATGCAGCGAGCAGTTCAAAGGGAGGAGCCGTGGGAGGGAGAGGGAGCTGTGAGTGAACAGGGTCGGGGATGGCTTCTGGGAATTGGAGGGACTGTCAGAGCTGGTTCGAAGCTGTGGCTCATGCGTCTTCTCCACTCTCTGAGCCAGAGAATGAGGGTCTGAGTTAGGCTTTGGGCTATCCAGCGCTTGCTGTCTGGCGCAGCACCGAGGACCTCCCCTGAAGACTGAGGGCTTCCACACTTGTGAGAGCTCCCTGCAAGTGCGAAGGCTCCGCTCATCAGAGAGACCCCCGGGCCACCGGCAGGCCCAGCCCCCTGAACCAGGGGTTTGCAGCACCCTCAGAGAACGGCAACTGGCCTTGGGCAGAAGAAAGAAGGAGATGCCCTCGCAGCTCCAGGCCGTGGAATGGGCTCTGCTGTCCTCAAGGCCTGCAGGTGACACCAGGCGCTAGGGCGCCAGGGCCTCCCAAGAAGGAAAAGGTGCGAAGCAGGGTAATTAGCTAAGAAGGTGTCCAGGGGCAGGCAGCCTGGACCTGGTGGGGGAGCCACCAGGACTGCATCATGAGTGGGCGGGATTAACTCTCCAGTGAACGGAGTGTTGCCAGGGGATGCTTTTCTTCTTCTTCAAGGAGCCAGAAGAGGTGGTAATTAAATTTGTCTTTTAAAATAAAACTATCCTGAAGGGGGTGAGAGCCTTCAAGCTTCCCCCATGGTGTTCTGGACACACTGGCGTCCCTCTCAGAGGGAGGAAGAGCTTCTATTCACAGGCCGTGAGCTGGAGAGGCCTCATGGTGAGTCAGGCTCTCTGTGTGAGCAGGGTGGTTGCTGATGTCTTCAGGGACTGCTAATTTACCCATCTGATTTGTTCCTCCACCCCAGCCACAAAGGGAGACCACTCAGTTACTTTGCTCCAAAAGAGAGGCTGTTGTTTACCGTGATCTCCCCAGCAACTGTGTGTGTGTGTGTGTGTGTGTGTGTGTGTTTGCACAACAACCTTATACAATGAAGAGGTGGGGCCCACTGCCCTTGCTAGAGTGTTTAAACACATTCCAATACTGAATTTGGGGCAAGGACTGTAATGGAGTGCCTCTGAGAGGCCTTGGCCCTCAAGGAGGCCATAACTTGAAGGATGTCTTTAAAAAACCAGGGTGCGTCAGGAGAGTGGTCACACGTTCCTCCTCCCACAGGCGAGCGATCATTCGAGAGTCCCCACTTTGTGCCAGTGCCTATGCTAGGGTTTTATATATCTTATCTTATTGGCTTCTCACAAGTGCCCTTCGAAGCAGATATCATGCTTTCATTGGCCCAGGTTCCTCTTAGAGAAAACCCATCCTTCCTTAGGTCCCGCCTGAAGAGGTCCATGTTCGTACAGCTTTTCCTGACTTTATCAGCACAGTTACTTACATTCTCCTTTGTACTCCAAGAAAATCACAGACTTTGGGCAGATGGCAGCCACGGTTTCCTCATCTGTAAGGTAGGGGTAACCCTGGGTCATCGTGAGGAATAAACGAAATAAATCATGGAAGTGCTTCAACAGGGGCTGGCAATTAGCCCTTGTTAGCCATCATTGTTGTTAATGCTAGTAATAATAATACCACATAGAATTACTTGCCACTAGTTGTGAGCTCCTTGAGTATGGTGATAGGGCCAACTTTCTTCATGTTTCATACCCAGAGGCGGGGGGGTTTGGCTCATGGTAGGCACACATTTTCTAGCTGGCGAGTGAATGAATAAGAGTGAAGTGTTTGCTCCTGTTCTTGAGCTCCTGAGGGTAGGCCCTTGTCCGACCCGTTTCTCTGTTGCTGACGTCCCCACTTCATCTGGCACAGCTAAGAGTTGAGTGACCCTTTTGAACAGATGAACAGGACCAAGAGATGCTGCTCCTCAGCCCATGCCTGGCCCGGGGATCTGGCTGCACGCCCATCTCCATGCTCTGCTCAGGCTGGTGGTCAGCTCCTGCTCCATGAATTCAGTAAGTGTGTCCTGGACACTTCACCCCTAGATGGTGAGCTCCTCGAGAGGGGACCGGGTCTTGTTTATTTTTAAATCCTTAGTGTCTAGCACAGCGCCTGGCGCAAAAGAAATGCTCAAGTGTCTGCTGTGGACTGCCCAACTGGACTCAAAGGAGAGCAGAGTTCAGAATGAATTTGTCATCTTTCCCCATCATCACCCCAAACTGGCCTTCTCCAGAAGTTCCCCATTTCTGTTTACTAAGGACCCATCTTCTCAGCGACAAAGGTCAAAAATTCCTCAGGAGTATGTTAGCATGGAGGACAAGAGCAGTCTTTGTGGTCAGACTTTTCTGGGCTTGAACCCTGGCTTTGGCAACTGCTGACCGTCCTGTCTGGACAAGTTGCTGACCCCTTCTGAGCCTCAGTTTCCCCTTTCATCGAATCAGAATAATAACGCACACTATTCACCCATTCAGTAAGGACTCTTTGGGCCCCCACTACACGGCAGGGCCTGGAGACTCACAGATGTGAGCAACACAAACATTGCTCTCGCTTGAACAGCTGACTCCACACGAGCGAGGGAGAGAGAGACACTGAGCAAGCGATCCAGGGAACACACAGGATGTGGAGGGTGACGTGCTGTGGAGAAAAGTGACACTGAGGGAGGGAAGGTCAGGGTGGTCAGTGCCTTACTCAGGTGCTGAAGAAAGACCTTTCTAATAAGGAGGACCAACGTCTGGGGAAGAATGTTCCAGAGAGAGGAAAAGAGCAGAGACCTGAAGCTAGAGTATGGAGGATAACAAGGGGGCTGAGGGCCAAAGCGGGGGAGAGAGGAGAGGACCGAGAGATACCAGGGCCAGACATGGGGCCGTGAAGACCTTGGCTCTAACTCTGGGCACGGAGGAGCGCGTTGAGGAATCCACGCAGGCGAGTGAGATGACCGGACGTAGGCATAAGAGAACCCCTCTGGCAGCTGCGTGGAGAATGCCTCTGCGGACGGGGCGGAGGCTGGAGGCCAGCGCTCGTGCCTGCAGACTGACCGTGTGGATGAGTGAGATAACACGGACGCGTGGATGGGGTGGAGGCAGAAGGCCAGCGCTGCTGCCTGCAGACTGACCGTGCGGATGAGTGGGTGGCCCCACCCCATGGGGGCTGCAGTAGGTGGTTCTGGGGCTGCCTCGGCTGTCCTCCCTTGCTTCCTGTGGACAGGGCTTGCCCAGTCACGCAGGGACTGTCCTGCCCTTGCCGGCCAGTCATTCCCTCCGCCCCACACCGCTTTTCCTCAACCCTTCACTGATGCCGAAGCTCCTTGAACAGCAGCCCCACCTCCTGCCTCTCCCGCCCCAATCCAGCCCAAACACAACTCCAGTCACGTCCTTCCCTGCTCACGACTCTTCAAAGGACTAACGGCTCCTCGAATCCATATTCTTGGAGGCTGCCACTCAAGGCCTCCCCAATATGATGCTGCATTTACTTTTTCCACCATGTACTGCTCTCCCAGAATTACTGAACACTTGTGGAGAAAGAGTTGGGTGCAACGTGTCACTCTCCGAGTGTCAGTTTCAATGTCCCAAAAGGTCCCTGCAGCAGAATGACTGAGGAGCATAGCCACTCTCCAAATGACAAATTGATTACCACGGGCCCTGACCCCAGATTCCCTGGGCCACCCAGGATGCCCCAACCGCGGAGGACCTGTACACTGTCCATTGCTGGCTCCCACTCCCACCGTGCTACCACGGACCACACAATAATGGGTCTTCTCTGAAAGGCACTGGTGTTTCCTTTCACTGCTCTTATCGCCCTTCATACCTGCCCCTGTGGACCCCACCCACAATGAAATGCCCTCATTTTGTCTTTCCTGGCTCTGACAGGAGATCCAGGTTCCAAGGCGTGGATTCCCACACCTGACTGCCTGCTACAAGCTGGCCCGATCCTCCATTCCTGTCTCCTTTTTCAATCTGAGCTCAGTCCACAAAGGATTGGTGCCTGGACCGAAGGTAGATAATAAGCTGGGACCCGCTGGCCAGAGACAGAACAGCAAAATCCCTGGCTTTACATTTGCACCAGCCTGGAGAGCAGACACCACCATCCCTTAATATGCTCCCCATGGGAAAACTTACCATCGATTTAAAGGCTTGTTCATTTGGGGCCCTTCTCACACGGAAGTATTGGTACTTGGACTGGCACCTTCCACCATGTGGGTCTTGCAGAAAAGCAAAAGAGATCCTGGTCCCCAACACCAATATTCTAAAATAGCATGCCTGAGGCTATCTATTGCTCCCACATGATGCTGAAGCAAGGACAGCCACTCACAGCTGTGGGATCCACGTGCCTCCTGGCACTATGAGCTGGCATCCCTGAATGCTCTTGTGGAGCCTAAACCATGTAGTGTGGAACATTTAGGTCCTCACCAGCTGGCTATGCCTGATTGGCTGATGGTGTTTTCTGGGGCATATTCTCCTACTCAGTGCCAGGACACCTGGGCAATATGGCACCCGCTGCGTCCTCCCTATCTGGAGTGTATGACTCTTCTTCCATAACACGATAGGCCAGGCAGATGACGTTATCCTAAGCAGCCATCAGGAAAACCAGAAAGGAATGTGGTCCTGCACTCTCAGTGCCCCCTGCAGACAACCTTTGCCATCGTTATGATGCCCAGTGGGCTGCCCACTCAAGCAAGCCTCCTACCTTGCGCATCTTTGTGACAGCCTTCCCAATATCAGCCTATGATTCCATGACCTGGGCCTGGCTCAAGAGTGGTACTGGCCCAGGGAGCCAACCACCACATTGCACATTGGGACCACAGCCCAGACAACGACTGCGTCTCAGAGGATGACGACCCAGTTACCCACATTATCTACCAAGGTGCCCCCTGCCAGAGCACAGGCATCTTCCCCTCAGGGGATCCCCGCTCAGTACATACTATAATTGAAAGAGGTGCACACCAGACAAGCCTCCAAAGTTACAACTCTCTCCTCCCCATCCTCCTCACTGGGCACAATAAACCACATTCCCACTGTGGCTAAAACTTCCTCTCTCAGACCTCCCAATGCAAACCTACTCCTTAAGGCTATCCCCAGGCTGACCTGTATGAACACACGGTCAAGGCTACATCCCAATGGCTGGACCTCACACAATGTTGGGTGCACTTTGCCCCCATGAGCAAGCCACCCCCTTAGTCACCCCATGCTGGATGACACTAAGCTCATGAAAAAGGCCCACAAAACCACCAATACCAATGCTACCTGTCTAGGCCACTAGGTCTTGCCCTGTCCCATCCAGGACCTGACGGACAGGACATTGATTGATGTTATCCACTTGGTCCCCGGCCCAAGAGTCCAGATCATGCATCTATCCAAATGCACATGCCTGTGCCACTCCCTTAGATGAACTCTTCCTGCTGGCCCAGCTTCCTGAATTCACTGCACACTCCACTCACTCTGACAACCGCCTTAGCATTTTCCCAGGTCCAAGTGATGAGCCATTTTCCTACCCATTGCTCAACACGTAAGAGTGACATTTGGGGCTGGAGGAGGGGACTAAGGGCTCACGATATGATTACACAAGGAAAATAGCAAATGCAACAGAGGAAATGTCCATGGTTCTGTCCGAACCTCGTGACATGGACAGCAGGTCATAAACAGGGGCAGTACGTGAGGCTTTCACTAAGGGGCACAAATCCCTGACTGTGCGGGGGCAGGTCACAGACTAGCTCCAGAGACCTGCTAGCTGCCCAGGAGTATGTGCCCTCAAAGGAACTCCCTGCTACACGTGGATAAATAACACAGGCAAAGTGACCCAAATAGCCTGACAGAGGAGCCACCACACCAAAACCAAACTTCACATCAGCTACCCTGAACTCCCTAGGACCCGGGTGTCCCAGCAGTCGGGGGTCCTTGTCCCAGGGGCCCTTCTGCCAGCAATTGGACTTCACATGCTGAGCTGGCTGTGTGAAATTGGGAGAGCCTACAGACAAGTATACTAACAAGAGTCTTGGCCTGGTGAACTGAGTGGCAGTGGTGAATTCTGGAAAAACTGAGTTGGGTGCAAAAATCAGCTCTCAGCAAAATGACATTTGGCCAAACTTTTGACACCCTCCAGGCAAGAAACCAGCAGAAGCCCAGTGAGGGGGCTCACTTCTGCTACACTTAGTAGGTCACATGCAAGGGAACCCACCCTGCCCCTTTTTGATTGCCCCTCCCCAGCCTGACCCCCACTGGAACAGACCACCTGGAACTAATCTGCGCCCCCACCGCCTCATTTTTCAACAGGTGGGCTCCTGTCCTGTATCTACGTCCCCAGGACCAGGCTCTCTGTCCCTGCAGATGTCAGGGAGCCCCCTTATTGGTGGGCCCCCCACCCAGAGACTCCCCTCACTTTGCCAATACCTGAGTCAGTAATAAATCTTTGAGTTACTTGCGACACGACTCAGGTGTGGTGTGTTTGGCGAACTGGTTGCCAAGTTGGACCAACTGGAGTCCAGCGAAAGGAAATCTGAACCTGTCCTTACTCCAGTCCTACCCCAGAACGTCCCCCACTTCCTGACTCCACACCCAGAGCCCTGCTCACGCTGTCTCCTGCCAGCCACACCTGCTCTGGCCACTGGGCCGATTCAGAGAACTGGCTCTGAAATCACTGGCGGTTAATCCTGACTCAGTCTTCAGTAGCTCTGTGACCTGAAACAAATTCCTTAGCCTTTCTGTGACTCAGTTTCCTCATCCATAAAATTACTATCACATTATTTACTTCCTTGGGGTGTCGTAAGGACAAAAAACAAAAAAGACACTCCACTCTAGGTAAAGCTCGAGTACAAGTCTGACTCAAAGGAAATTCCAGGTATTTACTCACCAAGGGACAACTCAGTTCTGCTTCCTCCAGAAAGCCTTCCACACCTGCTCCCTCGCTGACTTCCCCTTAATCCAGTCTCACTGCGTTTTCAGTCAGCACTGTGTGGTGGACCACGCGTTCGCTCTCCGCTACGTATGTGTTCATCCTGACTTCCCAAGTAAGAGATAAAGGTCCCTGAAGGTACAACCACGTCAGACCTGGCTCTCCCACAGACTTGCTGTGTCATCTTGCACTTCAATTTCTTGGGATTGAGTTTCTTTCTCTGGATGGCAAATACATGCCAACATTTCCCCGTCCCACGCCCTTGGAAGATACTAGAATTCAGTCACGATTCTCTTCCCCCTAGAACGGGTCCAGACTCAGAACCCTTCTAACCCAGTGCTTTGGACAAAGTATACTGGTTTATTCAGTAAATCGTATTGAGTACTTACTAGGTCCCACCTCCACTTGGGATTCTGCAGAGAGAACCCTGTGCTTATGGAACTTGTCACTAAGTAGGGAAGAAAGACATTAAGCACATACGTAAATAAGAAAATATCAGGTAGTGAGAAGCACGGTGATGAACAGGAAGAGTGGTGTGTCAGTGCCCGCAGAGGAGCCTACTTCAGGTGGGGCGTCCAGGGAAAGACTTTTGAGGCCCCTGGAAATTTCGATTCAGAAGATTTGGTGTGGGTCTAAGAAAACGTGTTGTTAACAAGCAAATGCAGGAAATTTTGGAAACACTGACATGGCGATTAAGAGTCAGAAGACCTCGGTTCAAACCCCATTTCCTACACTTCTGTAGCTGTGTGACACTGGGCGAGTTATTGAACTTCTCTGACCCTCACTTTCCTTATCTGTAAAATTGTAATAACACTTCTACTGACTTAGAAGGTTGGCATTAGGATTAAATAAGACAAAACATATAAAATGCCTGGCACATAGCATGTGCTCAGTAAAAGGTAGGTGTTCCTTGCCACAATAGGCTCATCTATTCCTGTCATCTTTTCTCTGAATTACTTAAAAGACGGAGCCACCAAGTGCCACTTCCGAGGTGACTCATGTGGCCCCTGAGTTGATTTTTGCCTAATGAAACTCTTCCTCTCGAAAAATAAATTCTCAAAAGACCTTCTTGTGGGCAGGAATGCTGGAGTCCATTGAGTTGATATCCTACAGCTCTCTGGTCAGGCTTTGGCCTAATTTCCTGTCTGGTTGAATGGGAGCCTGGCTACTTGCCCTCTCTAGTCCGGGCCGGGGAGGGGGCTGCTGAGCCCCCCAGGGACATGAGATTTGCAGAGTGTGAGGCACAGACAGAACACTGGCCATCCTAGATCAGCTGGAGCATCTGCTGAAAGCCCTTGAGGTATAGGACAGCCCCTGACCCACTGGCCCGGCACATTTGGAGCAGCGGCCACTCTGTCACATTTATAAGCTGAGCTGGTACATAACAAAGAAAAAAAAACCTGGGCAGGAAGCAGCCTTTTGAACCAGTGAAGAAACCGTTAGAATCCATCGCTTTGCCCTGATGCCAGAGCAGCTCCACCTGCCCCGCCCGGCCACGCTATCGGGAAACTCACGGTATCAGAGGCCCCGGGTGCTGGCCCCCGCTTTATCAAGGACCTGTGGGAACACTTCTCCAACTGGAGATAAAGGACTCTTTTCTTCTCTCTCTCCATTCTACTTCTGGCTACCTACCAGAGAGCTCCTCTCGTTTTCTTTCAGCAACAACAGTTCCGAAAAGAAGATATTTTTCAACCTGGACTTGAAGCAACCGGTGGAGAGGCAGGTAAGATGGGTTTCATTCATTCATTCATTCATTCATCCCTTCAATAAATATTTATTGGGCACTTACTACATGCTAGATACCGGGCTAAGCTCTTGGGTTCGATTCTGAGCAGAAGGAGCCTGCAGTCTTCGGGGAGCCAGACAATGCTTAACAGTCACAAACTATAAACTGACAAATTGTGACCCAAACTGGGAGTGGGAACTTATAATGGTGGATCCTAATCTCATGCCGGGCCGGTGCAGGGGGTGTCGGAGGAGCCTCCCTGAAGAAGTCACATTTGAGCTGAGAGACAATGTGTATAATAATCTTCCGGATTGCCCCCTTGCCCTCCAAGTGGGTGTTTTCAGGGTTGAAAAGATGCCTCAGGGCGGACAGACTCGCTGCCATTCCATGCCAGTCCTGTTTCTGATACCAAGTCACGATTCCCCACCCCTCGTGAAGGTAGGATGGAAACGAGCCACTGATGGAGAAGCCAGCACAAACCTGCCAGGACCTCCTGCAAGACGCAGTTCACTTTGCAGAAGTCGCTCTAGATAAAAGATATTTCCAGATGGAGGCCATGAGGAAATACAAATGGAATATTTTTAATAGCTCTTCTTCTGCGAGATATGACCCAAGGTGGCCTCCTGCAATATGACGGGAAGCAATGTAGCATGAAAGTGTGAGAGAGACGACTGGCCCACAAGTAGCCTCAGGGCCTTTGGAAAGGGGCTGTGGCCAGAAGGGGCATTAAAGATGCCCTGCTTACATGAGACACCCCGCCCCCACCACCACCCAAAATGGAGCCTACTCCTGCTCCACCCACCTCGCAGACTCTGGGAGGAGAGGGCAGGCAGATCTCTGTAAGAGCATCGAGTTCCTTTAAGATGTGGCTTTACAGAATAACAAGCCTTTTCTCCTGTGCTCGGAGCCAGGGGGGCTCTCACACAGGTCAGCGGGCAGTCAGGGAGTCACACTGCTGACAGAGGCCTTAGTGGGCAGACCTGAAGAATGACTCAGAGCTCATGTGACTGGCTTCACCATAACACTGGGCTTGTTAAATGGGGCCATGGATGAGCCTGAGAAGGTTGTGAGCCCCTGAAATGGCGGGGAAAATTCTGCATGTTGGCACAGATGTGCGCCTGGGGAACAGTCTTTGACTTTCACCACTTGTTTGTTTTTGCATATGGCAAAATATACATAACATAAAATTTACCATTTTACCACTCCCAAGGGTGCAGTCGAACGGCATTAAGCACATTCACATTGCTGTACAACCATCACCACCATCCATCTCCAGAACTTTCTCATTTCCCAAACTGAAACACTGTATTCACGGAACAAGAACTGCCTCCCCCCACAGCCCCTGGCACCCACCGTTCTGCTCTCCGTCTCTGACTTTCACTGCTCCGGGGAGCGCACGGGAGCGGAATCATACAGCATTTGTCCTTCTTTCACTCAGCATCGTGTCTCCAAGTTTCATCCATGTTGTAGTATGTATCAGAATTTCTTTTCTTTTTAAGCCTGAATAGTGCCCCCTTGTCTCCATATACTACACTATTTTTAAAATCCATTCTTTTGTTAATGGACGCTCAGGACGCTTCCACCTTTTGGCTATTCTGAATAACGGTGCGATGACCATCAGTGTACAAATATCCGTTTGAGTGCCTGCTTTCCATCCTTTTGGGGATATACCCAGAAGTGGAATCTTTGGATCATATAGCAATTCTATTTTTAATTTTTTGAGGAATCTATATACTGTGTTCTACAGCAGCTGCACCATTTTACGTTCCCACCAACAGTGAATAAGAGTCCCAATTTCTCCACGTCTTTGCAACACTTGTCATTTCCTACTTCTGTGATAATAGCCATCCTAATGGGTGTGAAATGGTGCTTCATTGTGGTTTTGATTTGCATTTCTATAATGATTAGTGATATTGAACACCTTTCCGTGTACTTATTGGCCACTTGTATATCTTCTTTGGAGAAATGTCTATTCAAGTCCTTTGCCCACTTTTTAATTAGGTTGTTTGTTTTTTGCTGTTGTTGAATTGTAGGAGTTCTTTATATATGCTGGATATTAACCTCTTATCAGATATATGATTCGCAAATATTTCCTCCCATTCCATGGGTTGCCTTTTACTGTTGATAGTGTCCTTTGATGCACAGAAGTTTTTAACTTTAATGTAATCCAGTTTATCCATTTTTAATTTTGTAGCCTGTGCTTTGGATGTCATATTCAAGAAATCATTGCCAAATCCAACGTCGTGTAGTTTTCCCCTATGTTTCCCTCTAAGAGTTTTATGGTTTTAGTTACCAGGATTTTAAGGGGAGTGCAAACTGACAATGCATGGGCCATCCTCAATCCTGATTCTGGGGGACCTTCCTCCCCATTGTAAAGACCCTCAGGACTTGGAATGTCAATGTGAGTCTAGGAGTTGGGAAATTGATAACATTGATGTGATATTTGAAACTTTTAATTCAAAAGGAATTATTGAGTATCTCCAAATTTATATCAGTACCCTGGGAGCTAATGGAGATGAAAATCATGGCTTCTCTTCTCCAAGAATGGAAGGCACTTCTGAGCGGGCAGGATGCTGCATACCCATGACATCACGGCTCTGCGAGTCGGTCACACGAGCACCTGACCCAGAGCCACGAGCTGCGAGGGCTAGGGAAGGGATCCGCCACTGTGAGCTGCAGAGGACAGAGAAGCCTTCGGGTAAAGACAGGTGGAGCTGGGTGTGGGCTGATGGACACGATGTGGAGAGGCAGAGAGGGCTGGGGAGGAATTTGTACTAAGTGCAGCAACCT